CACCCACTCTGCTCCTGGCTGCACACTCACCTACCACACACCCACAGCAACACATACACCCACACACACCCTGCCAGCTTGACTCTGTGCTCCCTGCTCTGGCGATGCAGCTGAGCCACATGGTGCTGACAGTGCCTGCAGTCAGGGGCTGGGCTGGGCTGCTCAGTCCTGCTGAGGCTCCTGCTGGGTCCTACTGCCCCTGACTCCTATCAGCTTTGACAGGAGCCAGGACAAGTCAATACAGTTTTAAAGCCAAAGGGCTTCCTCCACCTCCAGCTCCCTGCCTAAGGGGGCAGGGCCCATGCAGCAAATTGCCGCCTGCCCTCTCCAGGGTGCATGTGTAGTTGGCCCCCAGTGTTAGACAGACAGATGGAAATACTAAGCCTTTTCTTATATTACAATATAATGCTACCTAAAACAACGTTCTCAGTGATTGAAACCAACTAGAAAGATGATTTCAGTGCAGCCAACACTGAGCATGACTATAAAACACACAGCCAATATCAGACAAATGTACTGAGGAAAAGTTTTTTTCCCCCTTTTTTTTAATTTTTTATGGAAATTTTTTCATGTCCCAAGTCAAATCAGCCAAATCAATTGCAAATTTGTATGAATCATTCAAGAACCATATGTGGCTGTGCTACCAGCTAGCATCCTCCACACCTGCCTGAGGCTTCAGATATTCCATATCCTTTGGTGGACATCCTATGTGAAGGCCCAAGCCCAGAGGCTTGGGTTTTGAATGCCCTGAAGTTTTGCTTGCCCTCAGCCATATGGCCACAGGAGCAAGCTAGGGAGGAGTCTCTCATTTCCATAAAGTTGGTGTGTAGCTGAGATCCTCCCACTGGAAATCAAAGTGGGAGGCTAACTATCCATTACCTTGGTCAGGGTACTACCCCCTACCATGTTCATGGTCTTCCCCTGCCAGCAGGAAAACCACCATTTCTTTTTTCTTTTTTAAGAATTTGTTTGTGTTGTAAGCCAAATCAAGTCCAAATCCAAGCGTCAGTCCAGAACCATAGGTTGCCTGGGAACCGACCAACATCCTCCACCTCCACCAGGTCCTTCAGATATTTCCAAAGACTTTTGGCAGGCATCCTACATGCAGGCTCAAGCCCGGAGGTCTGGGGTTCGATGTCCCCAAGTTTCACCTGCCCTCAGCCATATGGCCGCAGAAGCAAGCTAGGAAGGAGCCTCCCACTTCCATAAAGTGGGCTTTAAGCCCCAACACTTCAGCAGGTACTAAACCATGCCAGAAGAACAGTCATCCTCTGGGGGCTTAGAGGAAACTGCCTTCATGGACCCAGATACATGGTGTTTCCCAAAACCACCCACAAGAATAAGTTAGTACAGCCAATCTGAATAAGATACAAGGTAGTGCCCACTGAGCACAATCCCCCTCAGTGCCAACTCTTTTAAAAGTCATGGAGAGTCACTACACTGCATATATTTAGACCTCCTCCTTCGCTCCCCCAGCTGAACTGCACCTTTCTTTGCCATTTCCAATGATCCCTGTTTGTCCTTTACCAGCCTTAAGCAGCTGGCAAACGTCACCAAATGGGGCCCTAAACAGTTCCCCAGAATCCCTCTGTTGCCTCTGCTCTCAGGCTGTCACATATTAGTGTGGCCCCGCCCTCCATAAGGTTAAGCCAGACCAGGTTGCCCTGCACCTATCTGCATATATATTTGTCGAGTAACCCAGGACTTGCGACTAGAACAGATGACTCCAGGCATGGGTGGAGGGCTCATTAGCACATGGATCCTTGGTGAATCTAAAGTATATCCATATCCTGAGCAGTGCTGAACTCTGCAGTCAGCATGGCTTGGAATGCAGTTGACTTAGCTGGGTCCCAGCCTAACAAAAAATATGGTAAATCAAGAGCTTTTTGGTTTTGGACTAATACCATGCAGTTCATACCATACATAAGTAGGTACAGAAGTACTGCTTAAAAGTCTGTTTATCGAGTACCTGTGCTAAAACCTGCAGGAGTTTAAAAAAAATAACATGCAACAATTCTGGATGAACCAAGTCTATGGTATTGTATGTATGAGAATTTGGGAGAAGTGCTGTTGTGCAATAATGCCTGCCCAAAAGCAAAGGCAGAGTTCTCTCAGTCTCAACATGAGACTACGAGGCTCTCCTTACACTGGCATATTTATTTCAAAGTCAGGACTCTCAAATTCACTTCCATGTGCTCAGAGACAGCAGGGTCTGATTGGGTGGGGGGTGGGAAGAGACAGGAGAAGGGGCTTCAAGGGGAAAAAGTTGGGATGGGCTCCCTGACCCGAAATTTATTTGCCCTGCTGTAGCAGTGGGAGGGGGACAAATTCAAGACAAACCTCCAATAATTAGATACTATACCTGGACAATTATAACAAATTTATACATTTTTCATATATAGAATCTAAATATTGAGTTGTCTTATTTTCAGGCTCCTCTTATATTTGGGTAAATACAGTAGCAACAGATTCCTTTGCCAAAACGTAGCCCAGGGAATAACCAATTACAAGGATACTTCAATTGCTCAATGGAGAAGGGCTCTGCCAAACACAGTACACTGTCTGCTCCAACCTTCATGGTGTCTAACACAGGAAAATGAAGGAGTGAGATCTTTTGCAGCCAGAAAGAGGAAATAATGCATTTCAAGATCACCAGTTAGGTGGCATCAGGCAACAAAGAGAAAAATGACGTGGTCACCTCAGCTTTGGCCTTCTTCTCTGCCGCCATGAGCTGAACTTTATCTCTCTGCTCCTTAGGGGCTGAGCGGTACATGTCTAACAGCAGTTTCATCTCCTTCTGGCTCTCCTGGGCCTTCCTGGTAAGAATGAAAGAAAAACACAACTGAGAATTTGGGAGAAGTGCTGTTGTGCAATGATGTCTGCCCAAAAGCAAAAGGTAGAGTTCTCTCAGTCTCAACATAGCTTGAGGGAGACTATGAGGCTCTCCTTACACTGGGCACATGGAGAAATCCATAACAAAGAATGGACACACTGAGGAGGGCCTAAGAGAGTGGCCAAAGCACTTACCGTAATAGTAAACTACACACTATCTGTTCCTCAGGTACAGATCAAAGACAATGAGAAGTACTGCCTTTGCTAATCAGCCCCTGCTAAGCCATATTGTCTCCAGATGCTAGTTACAAACCAGTTATCAGCCCTGGTTGCCCTGCAGGATTCTAAATGCCACCTCTACCTTGAGGTGACTGACTTGGCTTTCAGTGGCTAGGCAGTCATAAAATAACCAGTTTTGTTTTTTTTCATACAATCACGAATCAGTCATCTGATGAAGCAGAGTTGTCTCTAATTCCAGCAGCTAACACTTTAACTACAGGTTTCCAACCACATTCCCCCAAGACTCCCAGATTAGACCATGATGATAAGAAAAGCAAGCTGGGAGGCAGAACAATCCTTCTTACTTGAGATCAGCCTTCAGCTGCTTGATAATTTCAGCCTCTTTCTTCCTCCCATCCTCATGCTTCCCTTTGTCCTTCTCCTTGGACTCTCTCTCCTTCTCCGACTCCTTCTGTTTTTGCTTCTCCCGCTCCCGTTCCCGCTCCCGTTCCTTTTCCTTTTCCTTCTCCCGCTCCCTCTCCTTCTCTTTCTCTTTCTCCTTCTCTCGCTCTCTCTCCTTCTCTCGCCTCTCCCGCTCCCTCTCCTCTTCATCTCGCTTGGCTTTGGCATCACTAGTGTCCTCAGGGGTTGCCTTGGGTGCAGGTGCTTGAGCAGAGGAATCATCAGGTTCTTGTTTAACCTCTGGTGGTTCCTCTTTTGTGTCTTCAGTGCTGGACTGGGCCTGCAGGAGGGCACTACCAGTACGGGAGCGAGTCTGAGGGCAGGATCCAAAAAGAAATGTAGTAAGTGAGAGAAGTTCTCAGCCAGAACACAATCCTCATGGCCATCCCTGTAGGAATCCCTCTGCCGATCTCCCTCACAAATGTTATTGCCAGTGCTCTTAATAGAGCAGAATGCAGTCACCGAGGACAGTCTACTTGGTAGGAGGAGGGAATCCAAGATGAGACTGCTCAATGGAAAACTGTGCAGTCTATCCCCTGAAACCTGCTAGCACCAAGGAGAAATTTATGTATGGGACAGACTGCCAGCCTTTGCTCTGCTGTGAACTGGTTTCCCCTCCCTCTCTGCTTTCTCCATTAGGTTCCTGCATCTCCAGCTCTGATACCTTGCTCAAGTCAGATTGGGCTTCCCTCAGTTTGCGCTTGTACCTCAGCACCTCTCCTTTCAGTTGGTGGTTGTGATTTTGGAGGCTGCTGATAAGATGACGCATTTCCCGATTGATTGGCCCTGCAAGACATGCACAAAGAAACCAGGTTACAACAAGCCACAGTCAGTGTTTCTCTTCTGCCCTGGGCATTTTCACTGCTATTCTTCATACTGTATCTTTCTGGTAATTATTTACCCAGAACAGTAAGAAAGCAACAGACATTCCAAAACCACAAACACAATTTTCTTCGTGCTATACAACACGTGGACACTGCACCAGCAGAATAAAACTGTACTGGCTTTATTTGCTACTATATACTCTTAAAAAATCACTAGCCCTTTGACTCTTAACACAGGGCTGTCCAACTTCAGAGAAGCCAGGGGCCACAGGCCAAACAGGTCACAGGCCCAAAGCCAACTACCATGTGGGGTGTATGTCACAGGGGCCACACAGATTCCCTGGGACCCCCACTATGTGCAGCCCTCCTGCTACACAAACCCTCCACCACTGCTGGCGCTGCTGCAGAAGCCCTACTACTGCCATCACTGTGTAGACAATCCCCTACATCACTGCCGCACAAGAAGCATGAGCTCCTGCCCTCCTTCCTCCCCAACCATGGAAGCCCCCTGGCTACCACTATGCATTCCCCATCCTCTGCTACTGCATGAGCTGTGCATGCCCCCAATCCAAGTCCCCTTACTTGCACTGCCACATGGACAAACTCACCAGGCCTCCTGCTGCACTATCCTGTATCGAAGACCCTGGCTGCCACAGCAGCCAGAGCAAAAGCAACAGCAACTGGGTGGGAGCCCAGGGGGCTGCACATTTAACCCCTTGCAGGCCAGAGGCAGCCTGCCAGTTGGACAGACCTGTCTTAACATAACTATTCAGATTTTTTCGTCCCACTGGCAAACTGAGTTTTGATAAGACTTCTGAGGGGCCACGAGGACTATAAATTGATTGCTACATTGAAAATCCCTTCTCTTGCCTATCTCTAGTGAAAGGTATATAGGTCTTGGTCATGGTACCATTTTCCTAAGCATTTGGGCTTATTAAAGACCCTTTTCTCAATACAATAGTTTCTAATGGCACGAAAGATGGTGTATTGGCACTACACAACCCCTGCGCTGCTATTAATAAACCAATTCTCAAATGCACTCAGAAATCTTGTCAGTACACCTAGCAGTAGCTTAAAAGACAAAGACTAACTTGACACTGTTCTGTCTTAAATGCCAAAAGGAGCATCTTCTTCCTTGAAAGTGTGACATGAACAATAAAGACATCCAGTACCTGCTTGTTCATTGGCAGCGAGAGTCTGTTCAAACTCTATCCTCAGCATCTCATACTCCTTTCGGACCTGCGCCAGAGTATCCTCCAGCTGGATCACCTCTGTGCGCAGCTTCTTGTGTAGACTGACTTCATCTCGCTGGGGAACAAGAGGGAGATTAGCGCTGTGCCCAGGACTGTCTCACCTCATCAAGTTGCTTTCATTAAAAAACAAAATAAGGAGTATTAATCCCCTCCTGCAAGGCACCAAGCAACCAAGACTGCAATAGCCATTGCAGTATCCTTGATGCTCTTCATAGCCTGTCAGATAGCCATGGAAATGGCAGAGCTGATGGATGAGGTAGGTACCAAGCCCTGTGGGGCAGAATGGAAGACCTCAAAGAGGAAGTGATGGAGGCACAAGGCAATTACCTCAATGAGTTCCACTTGGCGCTGATGTGTACTGCGGGTGCCGTGAAGCAGAGTGCGAGCTTCATCTAGGTGAGCCTTCAACTGGAGGCTTTCATTATACAGGACTGAGAACTGGGACTGCATGCAACGGTACTCTGGTGTCTCCTTCACAGCCTCTTCCACTGCTCTCCTTAGCTCTATCTGGTAGATGGTCCCACAGGGAAAACAGGAGAAGTGAAGAACAAAGAACTATTAGCTCATCTTTGATTCCCATTCTGTGAGGTCTGAGTACACCAAACCCCCTCCTTTATTAACTCCCTTGCACTTTTCAGAACTGGCACAAAGTAGGGTAATTTCCTCCTTAACTTTTCCCACTGCAGGAGTCTTATGTGTAAGAGTTCAGAACTGATGAAAAGTACTGAATTAACAACCTGGAGTCTAGAAAGGTTGCACAGACAACAGCATGGCAAACTTCCCCTCACCATCCAGCCAGCATGCTTTGAACTGGACTTGGACTAGCCTCGTCCATCTTCTGGCCCACCCCCTTCTTGACCTCCATGTGAACTATGTTATCTATTAAAAAATATTTCCATAACTTGACAGCTGGCAGCCACTGAACAAAGCAACAGATTTCACAGAGGCAGCAAGTCAGCTATTTTGGAAACAAATAGAATGGTTCTTAAAACTGAATAGCAACAAGGTGAAACAGGTTGAGGAGTCAGTTTGTTCTAATTTAGCAGCAGTTTTAAAAAGAAGCAAAAGAGAAAAATAAATTTTATCTGCTACTCTCTCTCTTTTGATCACTCAGATAATTGGATTGTTCATCACTAAACTCTTTATTAGTTCCCTCAAAACAGAGCTATGAGCTGAGGAAACAAGGATATCCCATCTCTGCTGGGATATAAATTAGTTTTGACAGGTGGTCATTACAGAACTGCTCATGGATTAAGCCAGGACAGAGAACAAAAAAAAACCAAATTAGGTACATATCCATAATTCCCTATAATGGCCACACGGTGTCACCACTAGGGCTGTGCAAAGCTTTGATTTGGTGGAGATTCCAGGGCTGCAGGCCTGCTGTGGGTTGTTCTTGGGGGTGCATGCCCCCAGATCTGCATATGGGATGACAGCAGGCTGCTGCTGCAGGCTGATTTTTACCAGCACTTGGGGCGGGCACACTGAGCACTGGGAACAGCCCAGTGCCCCTGGACCTGAACACACGATGACAGCAGGCTGTCACTGCAGGCTGGAGCTGGTGGCAGCACTGGGCTGTTTTTGGTGCTCAGGGCAGGTGCGCCAAGTGCCAGGAAGTCAGCCTGGTGCCGCCGCCAGGCCCAGTCTGCAGTGGCAGCCTACTATCATCCTGCACACAGATCCAGGGGCACGCAGCACCAGGAAGAGCCTGACAACTGCCCATCCTGCAGCCCTCCCAGGGCGCGTGGAGTAGCAAGAGGCAGAGCTCACCTCCCTTTCCCCCATGCACCCACTGACAGTTCCCATTGCAGCTGGCACTGGTCACTCCTGGGGCTGCTACAGCAGGGGCTAGGGTGAGTACAGACAAGCTACACCACATCTCACACTGCCTGAGGCTCCACTTGCTGCTATTCCCTCCAGCCCCTGCTTCAGCCACCCCAGGAGTAGTTAACACCAGCTGCCTACACCACGGCACAGCGCAGCCCAGGAGCTGGGGTGAGTGGGGACAGATGGAGCCCAGGCATGGGGGGACAGGTGGAGCACGGTGCAGTCCCAGGAACAGCACCCCTTCCTATGTCCCTGCCCTAGTCCCAGCCTCACTCCCTTCCTCCCTCACCACCTGGCAACGTATCCCTATCTGTTAGGGCTGTCTGAAGCTTCGGTAGCCGATTCAGCAGCCAAATCTCCAAATCTGAATTGGCCGAACTGAATCGGGACAGTGATCTGAATCACCAAATCAAATCACTGTCTGTCTGAATCAGTCAAATCCAAATCTGAATCCAATACTTGCTGCTTCACACAGGCCTAGTCACTACTACACCAGGTAGGCCAGTCACAAACACCTCAGGTTCCTATTAGCATCCTGAGCTGTTGCATACAAAGTATAACCAGACACATACAGGGCATGACACAGAGACATGAGAAACAGATTAAAGGAAGGAACTGGAGGGGCATCCCACAGAGACTAAGAAAAGCCTTCATCTACTCCCATTCTGCACAGACATGTTGCTCCTTCCTACCTTCAGTTTCTCATTCTGCGTCGTCACTTCCTCAAGATCTTGGCGCAGCTTCTCCAGCTCACTAAGGCGGTTCCCAGCTAGTTCCTTATTCTCCTCCAGCTCAGCATTCATCTCTTCAAACTGAGGGAGAAACACAACAAGTGTTTTCAATGTATTTTAAAAAACAAAAAGAAACCAACTTTGCACTTATCTACATTTGGCACACAAAGATGGTCCTTCCCATTACCATAATACCCAAGCAGTCCACAATCTCTTTAAAATACTTACCCTCACCACCTTCTTGTGAGATAGGCAAGTGCTGATATCTCAATTTTACAGATCACAAACTGAGGTACAACCCAAGGGACTTCCCCTCAAGGTCTCCCACGAAATCTGTGGCACAGCTACGACTCAGCCCTAAGCTGTGATACTCAACATGGAACCATCCTTCCTGCCCCTTATCTACCTTAACCTTTTCTTCCTCTCCCTTGCTTCAGGCTTTACCTTGCGAGCATTGATGGTAATTGTTCCCCCATAGAGGCTGCTCCCAGCTCCATACACCTTGTAACCTTTTGAATTCACCTGCAAAGAAGACAGAAATTGTAGTAAGTGCCCAGTGCTTCAAACATGTCCCATCCTTTAAAACATTTGCTCAAAAAGGGGTACAGTCCATAATTCTGAGACTGAAATACTTCGCTAAAGTACAAACTCAGTGTGCCACAGGAATAGGGTTGCCCCTCTCTCCTGCTCAGCAATGAAGGTGTTACCAAGCCTTACCCAGCCCCAACCCCCACAAAGGCCCTGTGCTTACCCGTTCCAGCACATCTGCTAAATGCCGGTTGAGTCGTTGCTCTCTCTTGCGGATCTTGTCAATATCCCACTGCAGGTCATCAATCATTGTCTCCAGCACAGATACGCGGGACTCTGCTGTTTCTACTTTTTCTTGCAGCTTGGAGAACTGTAGCCAAGGGACACAAGACAGCATACATCAGATGGGAAGCAGCACCTGATTCCAGTCTAACATCTTTCCTGGATTGCTCAGCACTAACTTTTTATTGGTTCCAGTTTTTTTATTCAAGTAAGTTTTTCTATGGTGCTCATACCTATGGTATCTGTATTTTGCTCAAGCATCTGTTTGAAAGAGGGACAGGTTTCTTCCCACCCTTGTCCAAAATTTGACAGGAGCTAAAATCCTATTACAGGGAGCAAGACAACCTGAAGGCAGAATGGAAATTGGAAAAGCTCAAAAATCTGGTGGCAAATCTGGCACAGCCAGATGGCAGCTGCTTAAATGTACTACACGCAGGGCCCTGATCTCAGCCTTCGAAATATTTGCAGATGCTTATTATACACACTCAGTGAATGTTCAGTAGATGGAGTGTAAAGGAAGCCAGCTTTTTTAATCATTAGCAAAGACTGGATTTTCAAGAGGTAGAGTTTTATGGGGGGGAAAACGGCAGGCAATTCAAACTCACTGAGGTCTAGGATCAGCTTGTAATGAGATGCCAGTGCCTTTTAAGTAGGTAGCAAGAAAACTATCAGAATAAATGTCTGAACATGGAAAGGATATGATGGTCAACAGGCAAGCAATTGTTAAGTGTATCTTAGTGTCTGCTTCTGTCCTTCCTTTCCCCCAGGCAGATCAACACTGGGTTGGGCTGTTGCTATATAACCAGACTAGGCCCAAGACAGCCCCCACCCCACAGCTGGATCAGGGGTGGGCTGGGCTGTGGCCAGGCAGCCAGATTGGGTCTAGGCCACAATGCCCTTCCCTCCCCGCATGCAACTGGATCTGGGCTGGGGCCCACCTGCCCCACACACCAGATCAGGCCTCCACTGCACCCACCTCATCAGACCTGCCAGCTGGATCTAGCCCATAGGACAAGAAGATTGGGCACCACTGCTCTAAACAACAAATGGCATATTTTACTAAGTCACTATTTACTCTTGTCTCAAACATCTTTGCCAGTGACTTAATGTTACTGGGTTTCAGAATCACGCAGAAGTACGGCACACAGTGACATTTCTCCATAAACAACTCTTTTCCTCAGAACTTGAGTTCTTCAAACCTGTTATTTTTTCCTTTACAATTCCCCAAAGGAATAACATGCTTAATGCATTCTGCACACTCGTGTAAGTGGAACCATGCATTCCAGTCAGGAATCTAATAAGCTTGACCACAGAGGTGGCTTCCACTTTCTTGTCTTGTACCTCCTGAGACATGATGTGGTGCTTTTCCTGGAGGAGATCAGCCAGTTCCTGCAATCTCCCATTCTCATGTGCAAGGTAGATATTCAGCTCCTGGACTGCTTCTTCCACAAGTGAAGCATCTGAAGAAAGGAAAATAAAAAGCATATGAAAAGTTAAGTCATGGAGAAGAACCTTCAATCTGGCAACTAAAGAACAAAAATAACTGAATAACAGCATAAGAAACCCATATGGGGGCATTTTTGGGGAATGGGGGTAGAGGAGAAGAATGAGAAACCTGATAAACAATAATTTCTTTGTCCTTAGTTGCAACATTCTGAACAGCACGCTTTCAAATGTCCTGTGTTTGACACTACTTGAGCACAGTTTGGTAGGGGAGAACTTACGGAACAAGTAGGAATTCAATGTCTGTTATGAAGAGCCAAGTGAAATCTTCTTAAAAGATACATTTCAAACACTCAGGTCAGATTCCCAGACTTTCCTAGAAAGCCAGCCTGAGAATGAAGTGAGCCCAGGGCAAATTTTAGTTTGAGATGAAACACACACACCATAGTTGTTTCTGCACAATGTGAGTTAGTGTGAAATCAACACTCAGGAGACACCACTAAACAAACTGGTCCCACAGTTCAGTTTGAAACTACTCAGCTTCACTTAGCAGCATGCGTTTAGCAACAAGCCCCATGCCAACTACTAAGATACTAAAGGCCCAAGACATATTGTGTAGATGAATGATTGTCTCCAAACTATGAAACTATAAGCAACCCAAGAACTTCCTGGCATCTGAATTGTGAATGGAAGGGGCCCAATATCATAAAACAGAAATGACCCAGCCCTTCACATCAATTAATTTAATCAGTGATGAGCTCAGCAGCAGTCTGAGGCAGTGGCAGACCATTGCAGGGTTATAAGGTTCAATTGAAAAATAAGTATTTCCAAGTGGACAAACATGTTACACGGTGAACCACCACACATCATACCAGGCACTTATCTCATGATTTAAGCCATTGAACAATAACTTATTATTAATGTTTTCATTTAAGGAACAGACTTTCAACAGATTTCAGCAGTCAGTGGTTAGTATCATCTTCAATGGGAGTTGATGGGTACCAAGTGCTTCAGAAAATTTTGCCATTCCATGTTGGCATGTGTAAGTGTGGGAAATCTTGTCCTAATATTTAAAAAGCAGAAGCTGCCTCATCCCTGTCTAACACTGGGATTCATCAAATTCTCAATCATACCTCCACTATCTATCTTGTGAGATAGACTATCCATCTTCTCCTGCAGCTTGTCGTACATTGTAACAATTTGGGCAACAGCTCGGCGAGAGGACTCCACACGTTCCTGAAGCTGAGACTCCATTTCCTCACTGGTACTACTGGCCAGAGTGGCCAGGAAGGAGAATGCTGGCTCAAGACCCTCCCCTAGAAAAAGAGAGATGTACAGGAAGAGGATGTAAGTGTAGTTATGTATGTAACAACTGAGGTAACCACTGCCAATCAAGATTCTCTCCAGAGAGCAGAATATCACCACTTTCTTCAAATGAAGTCCATCTTCCCCACTTGTCAATGACAACGTACTAAGCAGTCCAAGTCCTTACCTCGCTCCCTCTCATCCTTGCGCTCCTGATTGCTGTCTGAGTCTGGTTCTGGTTCTGGTACCACCAAAGCTTTCCGTTCAGAGAGGAGGTCTCCAAGACCTTCGTCTAGGTCATAGCGCTTAAGAATGATGCGGATATTTTCATCAAACTGGAAGAAGGAAAAAGTGAGGAAGGGTATAAGCTACATACTTCACAGTGCTTTGAAATAATGTGGAACACAAGGCCACTTGACAGTTTTGTGCTACAGACCTGGCTCCAGTAGCGGTTGACAATCAACAGAGAAGCATCATCAGTGGCCTGCCGCCGCTCCAGCTTTTCAATGTGCTCCCGCAACTCATCCTCAATGGCCTGGCGCTGGTCCAGCATCTCTGCCAGCTTTCGGTTCTTGGACTGCAGTGTCCGGATGTCCAGCTCTTCCTGCACAGGGGAGGAAATCACTTCTATGTGGTTCATGCAGCACAGGCAAAGTCCACTTCATTGAGTAAAAGATCAAATTGAAGATGACAACACCACAACACAATGTGGAGGGGTGGGGAGGCGGGGAAGAAAAGAAGAGGCATTTTATGTCCAAACAGGACTAAGGCCAGAAAGTTGAGCTCATTAAGAAGGCAGGTAGGGTGCAGGAGAAATACGTACTGTTGAGGAAACACCCCCTAGCTTAATAGTTTCCACAGTGGTCCCTGAGTCTTCAACTGCTGCCTTCTTCTCTGGGGGCCCAGAAGGGCCTGGCTCTGCAGCAACCCGTTTGTTGCTGATCCCAGACATGGTGGGTAAAATGTGGAGAGTCCCTCTTCTCCGAGCTATTCTTAAAAAGCAAAGAACAAGTTTAAGAAAGGAT